CAATTTTAAAATTACCACATTAAAATTTTAAAAATATTTTCATTGTTAGTTTTAATTGACTATATTATTTTATAACAGAAGGATAATTACTCATAGTAAGTATAATTATTTTCCATAACAAAAGTATATGTAAATTACAATTTTTAAACTATTATATTTAAATATTTAAGTAATATAAATGGCACAGACTACAAAACTATCTAAGTCATTTCTCAGATTTAGTAAACTTTATGTATTAATTAATTAAATTATTTATTTTAAATATATGTAACCTGAGTAATAAAGTTTCATATGTATGTACAAAGAACAATGGGTCATACATTACCTTACATCATCTAGCTTTAGTTATAATTTCATTTTTCAGGAGGTGTTTTATCGGATTCATTCAAGTGTTTGTAGTACATTTATTATAGAGGTGTTTCGGTTAGGATACATTTTATTTAACTACAATTTTTTAAACGGTGTTTATGTTTTAATACGTTTTAACCACAATTTAAAATTTTAAATAACAGTTTAAAACATTTTTCCTGCCATTCCAATAGACTTTTTTTTTTTTTTTTATATATATTATTTAAGGAAAATTTTTTGACAATGACGGCATATAATAGCTTTCATTTCATTTCTCTGATTCAGTAAATTTTATTTTTATAAACTTAGTAATATATAGTTTCTCTTGTATACATAGAGGACACGGGTCGTTTAATGATCTACAAATTCTAGCTCTTCTTATTAACTTCCATTTTACTGTAGGTGTTTTATTTGATTCTTTTTAGATGCCAGAAATATTTTGAGAGAGATGTTTGATTTTTATATTTATTTATTCTAAATGAAGTTTGATGTTGGTTGAATCTTTTTTGAATTCATGGCTAGTGCAACCTATATATATATTTTTATGTTATCAGGATTTTCAATCGAAGAGATATTGCATTGGTATACTAATGATTCAGTGCAACATTTATTTTGTAGTGGGCAATTTTGAGGGTTTCGACAATTACATAGTTTTTGTTTATTTACATCAGTTTTTATCTTAATTTTTTCTATTGTCTAAATTTTTTTGTTTTTGGTATAAGTGTTTATTTAAGATATTAGCATTATGGTTCTTAATGATTTTTTCTAAGTTCTTTGTACAGCTATAACTTAATTTTAGTGTGTTTTTATTGAAAATAGTACTTAGTTTATTTTCACAAGGAAATGTTGACTATTAATGTGAGGAATTTATGTCCTAATCTGTTTTTACCATTTGGTTATATGGGGAGTATACCAAATAATTTTTCTACATCTGTTTTTTCTATGTTTTCCATTTTCATTTTTTATATACGCTAGTTTTTGGTTTTTGGTTTTATATATATATATATATATATATATATATATATATATATATATATGTATATGAATCGGCAGCGGAAAATGTTATATTTGTATTAATCCTATATATTGAGAGAGAGACAGATGTGCATATAAAATGTCTATGCGTGTGCATTTCGAGACATATATGTATGTATATTGTCATCCACAGACAGACTGTTTCGCTGTATCACAGCTTATCAGTGTGGCTAGACGTCCTGTTGCCTCTAGCTAGGATCAAAACCCGACTGAATTGCCGTCAGTCAGGATTCTACCACTAAGCCGTTGGCGCACGGCAGGGATGAAGGTAAATTTTAGCATATTTATTTTTAGATAAACACACATTGACTGAGGGAACTCGAATCAATTTACCGAAGTTTCTTGCATTATTAGCCGTAATAGTCACTGTTTACGAACCCACACCCCTCTCCCTGAGAGCTCAATATATATATATATATATATATATATATATATATATATATATATATAAGGCAGTATTTGTATGTGTATCTAACGAATGCACGGCCGTAATTTTCGACGGATTTGCACCAAAATATACATGCACATGCTCCAATGTAGTGGAAAGGCCAAGATCGACTTTACATTTACCAACTCCCATCGATAGTAGAAATAATCGATTTTTCATTCTTCTACGGCAGTTTTCATGTAGTTTGCGGCCATTTTCTACTGGCCAGAGTGAGAGCCTATAGCTGGCTGCCACGAATAGGCAGGAAGATTCTATTAGCCAGCGTGAGAGCCAACAGCTGACTGACACAAATGTTAACTAACATGCTAGCATGCAAAAAAAATCGATAGCTGCATTCGTCACAATTGGGAAAAATTTAAATCTGCATGGCACTCTACTCCAATTGGCTCATTTGCTTGCTTAAACTCAATGTTGATTCTGATTCTGCAGAACTGGGTTGGGTGTGAAAAAGTATTTGTTGTTAACATTCTTTTTTCATTCGGTTTTTCCTGTTACGTGTCCTTTTTTAAAGCTGATCGTTTTGTGTTCATTTTGTTAGTTCTTTTTTCGTAAAAGATTTAATGTTTAGTAGAGAGCTTAGAAAAAAATTCGCAGTGTGAGATAGGCAAGAAGTAAGGCATGTAGCAACATCAGCACGGCAAAGGGCCCTCCTTTAAATGCAAGGGCAAAAATATTTTAAGTGATAGCGATTGCTATATGAGTCGTACGATTTTTGAATCAAGCACGGGCAACGCCGGGTCATGCTGCTAGTATACATACATACATACATACATACATTCACACACACACACACACACACACACACACACACACACATATATATATATATATATATATCAATGTGGATATAGAAATCAACTTTTTATGCGGACTGTGTCATGCCTCACATAATAATCATATCGTTAATGTCTCTTCTGTCTCTGATAATTGTAAACCCCTTCTGAAACCATGTTCTGCAGTATGATGGTGCCTTTTTACAATCTGTGGATCTAATCTCGAAGACAAAATATCTAATCCTTTATTCTTTTCGAAATGTGAATTTTGAGGCCGAGAGGCATATTTAATTCCATCGCAACTTCTCTGAACTGGACATCATGTGCGCATTAGTCATGAAACGACACATAGACTTGTCATGAAAGGCGTAATTGTAAGTCAGTTCTTTGAAAGTGAAAACAATTTCAATTTAGGTACATGGAAAACAATATGCAAGAGATTGATTCTACTAACATCTCTCGGTCGTTCATTGTGTAAGTGACTTCTTACTGTGTCAAATGGAGGAGTAAATAAAAGACATTACTTTTGAAAGATAAGGCATTGAGCCTCTATCTATAAAAATCAGATCACTTAAAACCGCTCTAACATTCCTGTAGCTTTTCCAAAGGGTGATGTTCTTTGTCCTATATACGGAATGTTCTGTAGGTCTGGGTTTCAAACTAGCCTTAATATCATCGAATGTAGATAAAGAATTAGAATTTCTCTTAAATCCTCTTATGTCGAATACAGCAAAGAAGTCAATGTGTGTGGAGTATTCGTAATTAATTGTATTAAGATTTGGTTTTATATTAAAAAATGGAAACTTTAATAAAAATTAATTACGAATACTCCACAAACATGTGTACAATAGATAGTCTTTAAAAGTTAGGGATTGTCATTAATAGTTTTCCTTTATCTAGCAACTACTCAAAATCGGAACTTTTCTACAGCATACATAGTTACCTCCCCTTAAACGGCGTATCAACTAGACATGACACAGTGTTCGAGACTCTGCACATAAAAATGGTAATCTTCGGACGCCCACAAAATTTTTTGTCCTTCACAACCATCAACATTAAATACTTATTCTATATTTAACAATACCCTGATGATGACATTATGCTATGTCAAAAATACTCGGAATAAGTATGAGCCAACTTGGTGTTTTCCTTTCATCTTTTAATAACCGCACAAAAAAAGCCTACGCGCGAATATGAAAAGATCTTGTCGAAAATATGTAGCCAGAACGTGTCTAAATTATTTAACGAAACCTGTCTGAAAATATATATATATATATATATATATATATATAAGGTGTCCAGAAAATCTTGACTCGCTTAGGAAGTGGAAAGAAACCATGATTTTATGTAGCAACACCAATATTTCTTCATCAAAATAAAGTCCATCATTCTCGACGATCAGTCAGCATCTGCATCTGTCTCAGATACCAACGAGCCTAATCGCTGGTTGCCGAGGAAGTGTGCCGTTGAGAGGAATATGCCATCGTTACTCGGAGCAGCATGGTGACTAAATGGTGGATGTGGAAGTATCTCAACACCGTACATCTCTTTGAATTTCTTAGTGATTGTGGCAGTGTGTGGCTTCGCATTGTTTTGCGGAAACAAAGCCCGATCTCGATTGACCAAAGCAGGATAATACTTCTTCTGTTTGTCGTACAGGCGGTCTACCTGTTGGCAATATAGTTAAGCGTTGATAGCGCAACTGTGTGGAACATGCTCGTAATGCAGTAGTTCTTGGCCTTGCAAATTTCAGCAGAGAGAGAGATCAAGTCTTGTTGTTTTCTTTCCGCTTCCTAAATGACTCAAAACATTGTGGACAACCTAATATAGATAGATACATATATATATATATATATATATATATATATATATATATATATATATATAAAACTGTATGGATGTATGAAAGTGAACATTGAGGTCAACACTTAGAGGCGACAGTCTGTTTCATGCTAAACTCGTGGCCTGAAGATTGCCTCTAGCATGAAACCGACTTCAATGTTCACTTTTATATTTACACTCGCTCTATCTTTGATATTGAGCACTTTATCCCATAAATATAGCACACCTTAAGACTATATATATATATATATATATATATATATATATATTGGTGATATTTCCTCAGAGGTTATTTTTAATGTGTACGTCGCTTTAATTGATTTTTAGACTCTGCCTTTATTTTTTGTACAATTTTTTCCCCATTTTTCATTTTTCATTTTTTTTTTGCTAAATCTATTATAGATGATTTTCCTTTTATTAGATTTATACAAAGGAATCCATTAAGCGTACTCCTGTTACGTTAATTGCTTTTCTTGTGACTGTTTCCTCCGAGGAAATCGTTCTTCTCGTCGTATTTACACCTTGAAGTTGATTATTGGTCCACTTGTTCTATTTCACATTCGACTGCCGACAGTTCTCATATATCCCTCTATGACTATACAACGAAAAAAAGAGAAAAAAGATGGAAGTAGTAAAAGATCGATAAATATATAGACGTGAACTGAAATCAATAGATATTGCTTTGGTAAGGCGAGATGGTGTAAAATAGATAGATAGATAGATAGATAGATAGTGAAGAGTCTGAGATAGATAGATAGATAGATAGATAGATAGATAGATAGATAGATAGATAGTGAAGAGACTGAGATAGATAGATAGATAGATAGTGAAGAGACTGTAATAGATAGATAGATAGATAGATAGTGAAGAGACTGTAATAGATAGATAGATAGATAGATAGATAATGAAGAGACTGAAATAGATAGATAGATAGATAGATAGATAGTGAAGAGACTGAAATAGATAGATAGATAAATAGATAGATAGATAGATAGATAGTGAAGAGACTGAAATAGATAGATAGATAAATAGATAGATAGATCGATAGTGAAGAGACTGAGATAGTGTTGAAACTTGACTAATGCATGGAATAATAATACAACACAAAATGTACTTAGAACAAAATGTATTGAAACAAGAAAGTGTACACAATATTTACATATAGTCTTTTGTATATTCTTGGAAAGACCGTTCCTGGAGAATGTGTTGACTTAGTCGCAGTCGGGCAGAGTCTCTGGATTGAATCTCTTGATTCCTCCCCCGTCTTCCCGGTACCAACCATATTTATATGGTCGGTACTCCACTATGCAAATTAGGTGGATCCTACCACAACAGATAGATAGATAGATAGATAGATAGATAGATAGATAGATAGATAGATAGATAATGAAGAGACAGATTCTTTTCTTTAGACATTTGGTCAGATTATATATATAGTAATCCCCAGTTTTCCTTTTTTTCTAAAAGTTTAGTTTAGTATCTGTTTGAATTTCTGGGATGAGGATTCTCAATATTGGTATTACTTACATCTTTCTTCTAACTAGATAATTACGAGACACAAACACCGCTGAAGGTAAATTTTTCAAACCCATCTCAAACATGTATATATACAGTTAGATATACATATATCATGACATAGGATGGTGAACGCTTTTCTCTTATGTCTGTATGACAAAAGAACAATAAACAGAAAGATTTTTAAATAGAAATAGATCGATGAATTTACAGATGTGAATAAGTGAAGGGAAATTGATATACAGCGTGTGATGAATAAATTGTCGTCAAAATTAGGAAAAATTGAAAATAAAACTGACATCTCATGTTAATATATATATATATATATATATATATATATATATATATATATATATATATGTTTACCAAACTTTACTCGGTTCGACAGTACATATACTAAAATTGGAATGAGGGCACCTCGAGGTGGTGTAATGGTTAGCAAGGTTATCTTGCTAGAACGATTACTAGTGATTTCGATTCTCACTGGGTGCCGCGTACTTTTGGCTTTGCCCCACATCTCAGCTACGCTTGGAAAATTTCTACTAAAATTTGAATGATAGAGAGAAGATTAGTATGGCCCCTGCGCAATGATTGTTCTCGGCTAAGGGAAATTACAAGCATTTAAAAATGTCCTACGAAGGCTACTGATCCTGATACAATTTCTGTGGTTGTTCTTAAGAACTTTAACACAAAGTTATGTCCAATCTTGGCAAATTTTTACCCGCTGTCTGAAGTCGAAATATTTGCTAAGTCTATGGAATGTATCAGTTTTATGCCCCGTTTAAAAAGAATGCGAGATTACTCACATCGCCGTCACAATATAGACCCATGCGCCTCAATTGTGTCATCAGCAAAATCTCTCAAAATTTGTTAATGGCTTGTCCTCTGAAGCTTATGAGGTCAAAGCGGATGTCAATCATTTTCTTCTGCTTTCTTAATTCTAGTTCTTTTATTGTTTCGGCTTATTAATATATTTTTGGCTTATATTTCTTTAGACTCAGTGACTATCAGCGTCTTAGTAACTTTATTGCCTTGCTTGGTTTGGTTTGGTTTATTTTGTTTTACGGCATATCAACCTCAATGGGTTATTTAATGCTGAGAAAAAATTTATTGCTTGTAGTATTTTGTTTAGTCAAAAATCTGTTTCTGGTAATATTTTTCCTTCAAAATTGTCTTGCTGGTAATAATTTAAAAAAAAATACTGGTAATAGTTAACTATTTGCCCATAACAGGTGCTACCACACCGGATCAGGTTGGACCTGGAAACAGCATCAAGAGGTGGTTCCACGATCATTCTGATCAGAGGCCTTGCTGCTGGACTTAGTTTATTGTCTACCCAGGATGCGGATGTAGTTTATTGTCTTACCCAGGACGGATTGTCTTACCTGGATGAAAAGATTAAAAAAAAACCTATCGGTATTTTTAATAATTTTATTTCCATAGTTCTCAATCCTTTATTATAATGATATTCGCATTGGTATTCGATCCAATCAACAATGTATTACCAAACATACTTACGAATTGACGCTATAAACAAGGTTTCTATATCTCTTAACTCTTATTTTCAATGGGGAATAGTTCCAGATTTATTAATTTCCATGACTTCTATATATATATATTAATATCTATTTTCAATTTAGGTTACATATTTTTATATGAAGTACGGCTAACGCTTGGCCGAATGACTTTCTTCTTTTTCTATGTGCCGTATCCTTTCAGGATGTTGGCGATCAGCATTCTCCACAATTTCCTCCTTTTTGTAGCTCTTAACAAATGACTTTTTTTATTATCTCCCCAAATTCTTGCGTTGCTTTTCTCTGTCCCTTTTGTCTTCAATCTGCCCTGTGAGTATCAAATTTTACAAGCCCCTTTCCTCATAATGTGCCGTTTAAATTTCAACTGTTTCTTTCTGATGTTAACTATAGTTGTCCTTTTTGTTTCTATTTCCTCTAAAACTTCGTCGTTGCCCCCATGTTGGGTTCATGGTATTCTGAGAATTCTTCTGTAGAACTGCCTTTCTGTTGCTTCAATTCTCTTCTTCTTTGGAGAAGAGATTGTCTAGTATTCACTGACATATAAGAGTGCAGATGGGCCGATATTTCGGTCTTCCATATTTTGGAAAAAAAAACACACTTCTCAAGTCTCAGCTGGTAGAGTCATTTGGAAAGAACAAAGTAATAAATAATTTACCCAATTCATTTTCTCCTTAATCCTCGGTTGCTTCCCCTACCTTTTGTGTAAATGTAATCTCAATAAAGGATACATAATATCATAGGAATTGTGAAACGTTTAAGATATATATATATATATATATATATATATATATAGCTGATTCTAAGTAGTATATATATATATATATATATATATATATATATATATATATATATATATATATATATGCTCCCGAAAATTCAGTTGAGCTCTCGAGAGAAAAGTGCTTTAAAACACAGCGGCTCTTACTGCTTTTAATGCATTACTCTTCAAGTACGAATTGAGTTCTCCGGGCCGCTGGCATATTTCATATAGAAAAAAAAAACATTAAAATTTCCTGCTTCTCTACCAAAAGACGATGGCCTAAGGGTAAGATATTGGTCTGGTTTCGATCCCAGGTTGAAGCAATCGGACTAGCCACACTGAAGAGCTTAAAACAGCGAAACTCTATGTGGATGACATATATATATATATATATATATATATATATATATATATATATATATATATCCGTTCATCGTTCATATATATATATATATATATATATATATATATATATATATATATACACGATGAATGGATGTCCAAGGAGAGGCACTGTACGTACCCAGAGAGATTATTGTGCCTTAAAATCACACTTAACTTTAAGCGGAACTCCTATATACGAACCATAACTAAAGATGTAGTTTAAATGGTTGGCTGTCTGTACCTGACTCCATTCCTGAATCCTCTATCTTTACAGGAGAAAGCTCACGCCCAAAATAGAAAACATATTAATGCGCAAACTGTCCAGACCACGCTGCCCTTCCTCGAGAGAGTCCAAAAGCGTCACCGAGCGGATGAATTATTTTCTACCCTCCAACCCCTTTCCCACAGGCGGGATGTGTCAAGCCACTCGCTGTTCTACCGCTATTTTCACGGAAAGTGTTCAGACGTGCTACATTCCTTGGTTCCGCCAGTTCTAATCTACACGACCATGACACTTACATTGTAGCAAAGCCACCCGCATTTCCTCCGCATTCCATAGATGAGTATTAACTTCCAGTCAAACAGATTCTTTCCACGACCTACTTCTCTATGGCACCGTCTCCCAAGAAGATGCCTGTTGGCCTCAAGCCCATTTTTTCTGTTGTTTTGTTCAAGTACTTTCGATCATCTCAAGCATTTTCAAGAAACAGACTGTGTCGATGTTGCAAGCAAGATTCCAGCGCCCACATTGTCCACGGTAATGTCACGGGAAGCGGTTAATGTGTGAATACAAATTTTAATCAAACCTATTTCGAATATATGCAGAAAATAGGAAACGCGAGATGCCTGCACAAGATAGTTAAAGTGGTCTTTTTCATATATCGTCTGATAATCTTGCAATATTTTGGTGTGGCTTTTTAATGAAATCAGCCGAATTCTCTATCATGTCTCCTGAACTAAATCTGAAGGAATCAACACCACCTTCGAAGACTAATTCCTATTTTTTTTCGTAAAGTTAACCTTCTTACATTTTCGCTATTATATGAAATTTTCTATATTTACTAACAATATATTTAATTTATAAACGTATGTATGTAACTATCCCTTAGTCTATGTATTAGCAATATCTATAATGCAAAGATATTTTAATTTCTTTCAAATAATAGTTATATATATATATATATATATATATATATATATATATATATATATAGTTAAAAATGTCTTAAAATAATTATCGGACTTTGCCCATTTCATAATGTGTGACTTTGTCATTTGTGACTTTTTCATTTGATTACATTTGTATACGCTTCGAGCAGATATGAACGTACGAGGGAAATTATGAAGAATTGTAGTCTACAAACATTAGAATCGACCTTGCTAACCGAGATGTACCTCTGTAGTTAAATCGGTAAAGCACGTTTGGCTATAATGGTTTCGTGTAGGATACAAATTCGATTCCTGTCAGAGGACGTATATTTTCTATGAAAATTTCTCGGACATTCAGGCCGGTAAATATCAGTAATACTGTTCATTATAAACAGAGCATTTTCTTAAATATTTGTATCTATAAGCAAGAACGTATAAACATAAAAATGTCTTAAAATAATTGTCGGACTTTGTCCAGTTCATAATGTGTGACGTCAATTGTTTACATTTGGATTGGCTTCGAGCAGATATGAATGTACGAGGGAAATCATGGAGGATTGTAGTTTAAAAACAGTAAAATCGACCTTGCTAATCGAAACGCTCCTATGTGACGAAATCGGTAAAATAACGTCAAGCGGTTCCGTATAGGATAAAGGTTCGATTCCTTCTCGGAAGATGCATATTTTCTTTAAAAATTTCTCGAACGTTCAGGCTAGAAAATGTTGTTAATACGGTTTATTATAAACATAGCATTTACTTAACTATTTGTATGTATAAAAATAACGTATAAATATAAAAATGTCTTAAAATAGTTATATTAATTTACACTTCGGTGCTAAATCAACTGGTGCATTGCCAGGATTAATTAATATAAAAAAAATATTTACAATCTATGTGAGCAACAAATAAGTCTTAAGAAAAATAGAAACAATGGAGAAACATATACTTATAATCAAAAGAAGATAGCTTCTGTTAATAAAAGAGATAAAGAAGAAATAAGGTCTACGGAATTTAACGCTCGCAATGCATACTGAAGACAAAAGTATTACTCAGAAACGGCAACAGCCTTATTT